GGGACCAGCAGGAGGCCAGTCCCTGTGCTCCCTCAGAGTCCCAGCAGGAGGCCAGTCCCTGTGCTCCTCAGAGTCCCAGCAGGAGGCCAGTCCCTGTGCTCCTCAGAGTCCCAGCAGGAGTCCAGTCCCTGTGCTCCTCAGAGTCCCTGCAGGAGGCCAGTCCCTGTGCTCCTCAGAGTCCCAGCAGGAGGCCAGTCCCTGTGCTCCTCAGAGTCCCAGCAGGAGGCCAGTCCCTGTGCTCCTCAGAGTCCCAGCAGGAGGCCAGTCCCTGTGCTCCTCAGAGTCTCAGCAGGAGGCCAGTCCCTGTGCTCCTCAGAGTCCCAGCAGGAGGCCAGTCCCTGTGCTCCTCAGAGTCCCAGCAGGAGGCCAGTCCCTGTGCTCCTCAGAGTCCCAGCAGGAGGCCAGTCCCTGTGCTCCTCAGAGTCCCAGCAGGAGGCCAGTCCCTGTGCTCCTCAGAGTCCCAGCAGGAGGCCAGTCCCTGTGCTCCTCAGAGTCCCAGCAGGAGGCCAGTCCCTGTGCTCCTTCTCCTTGGTTCATATGTCACTAACATGTCACATATGTACATTGGTTCGAGTTCATGAAGAGACTTGTAACAAACAGAGATGTTTTAAAGTATATTCTCTGAGCTACAGGTGCAGAGACTTGAGACCAGGACTAATGTGATGGTACTTCCTGGGTCTAGTCAGGACTAATGTGACGGTACTTCCTGGTTCTAGTCAGGACTAATGTGATGGTCCTTCCTGGGTCTAGTCAGGACTAATGTGATGGTCCTTCCTGGGTCTAGTCAGGACTAATGTGATGGTCCTTCCTGGGTCTAGTCAGGACTAATGTGATGGTCCTTCCTGGGTCTAGTCAGGACTAATGTGATGGTACTTCCTGGGTCTAGTCAGGACTAAATTGATGGTACTTCCTGGGTCTAGTCAGGACTAAATTGATGGTACTTCCTGGGTCTATAGTATTTTTCGTAGCTGGTCTCCGCTGACAGTGAGTCCGTGAGGAGAAGGTTCCGGGCCGTTTTCAGAAACTTTACAGAGACGGTTGCGATGGAGCTTTGGGGGCAGCTGCTGCAGACTGTGCCCAGTGCGGACTGAGACCCTTCCTCTTTTATCATCATAAGTGCAGGTCTATTTAGGTCCCGGCTCCTGGCACAGACTCTACGCAGAGGATTAAGAACCAAACTTAGTTGAAAGAAGATGCCCTGCGGGGAAAAGGAATCACTTGAGAAAGACGTGTGACAAAACCCTTCACACGAGACAAAAAAGATAGCTTTACAAACACATACGGGGTATTAGGGATCATTAAACATGGGAATTATTTTGACAAAATGTTATGCACTGCAAAAGATGACAGAATTAAAGACAAAAAATGCTAAAATTTGGCTAAATGTATCTAAATTTGAGCACATTTTGACTGCCTTTAAACAAGATTTGCCAGTGGAACAAGAAAAATTGTCTTGTTTTAAAAAGATACAAGATATTTTTCTCTTGGAATGAGAAAATAAAGCAATAGTTCTTGAATCAAGTCAAAATTGCTTGTCTCATTGGCAAATCTCATTTTAAAGACAGTCAGAATGAACTTAAGTCAAGTTTAAAAAAAAAACTCGATTCTAGCAATTATGATCTCATATTTTGATCATTTTTTGCAGTGTGCTAGTTCAGCCAGGTTTCCTTAAACAGTCGCCCGATGAAAGAAAGGAAATTACAAACTTAGATAGATATAAAAGAAGGTTTAATATATAAAACAGAATACATATAAAAGACAGGCAGAGAGAGAAGCCTGGGTCTGCTGCGGACGACAGGCAAAGCACAAAAGACAGACCACGCTGAAAGTTAGGCCTTCCTTCTTATACCAAAGTTCTAAAACACATGTGACCATATGGTGACAATATGGTGACAATATGACCTATCGAACTCTAGGTTAGAAAACGATCTCCTCTCATCCGTCAGAAAAGGTGTCTTCTTGTCTCAACACAGATGTTTTCTGGCTTCATGCTTTGTTTACTCTGCTCTTACTGTATTATTCATATCTATCTGATAATTCTCCCATTCAAGTCACCTTACCTGTTGATATTATTTCTGATGTTTATTCTGCTCATATTCTCATATTCTCCGCTGCTAATGTATAATATAGACATCTGTAAATACTCCGAACCAAGTGCAATTGTAGCCCAGATTTTCTTATTTTATTTTATTTTATCTTAAATGTATTGTCTATTATCTTAAATAATAGACTTTGATGTGTGCAATCTGAGTGCTCTTATCTCCTTTCTCTGCTGCAACGATGACACTGACATTTCTCCACTGTGAGACTAATAAAGGTTTATCTTATCTTATCTTATCTTATCTTATCTTATCTTATCTTATCTTATCTTATCTTGTTTACTTATGCTCTTTCACTCTTGCCTGGGGGGCTGGGAGAATTCTGCATTCTCGCCACGCTTAATGCATGTTGGTTAACTAGACTAGAGCCTACACTGCAAAAAAATGATCAAATATGAGATGATAATTACTAGAATCGAGTTTTTTTTAACTTGACTTAAGTTCATTCTGACTGTCTTAAAATGAGATTTGCCAATGAGACAAGCAATTTTGACTTGATTCAAGAACTATCGCTTTATTTTCTCATTCCAAGAGAAAAATATCTTGTATCTTTTTAAAACAAGACCATTTTTCTTGTTCCACTGGAAAATCTTGTTTTAAGGCAGTCAAAATGTGCTCATATTTAGATACATTTAGCCAAATTTTTGCATTTTTTTGTCTTTAATTCTGTCATCTTTTGCAGTGTGAGGAATGTGTCCAGTAAGTTAGTATTTATATACCACCTTTTCACTGCAGATCTGAGTCTCAAAGCGGTTTACAATTGTTAATTTTTGGGCATTTGTCTCTCACTCCACACAGAGATGTGAGCGGGGCCAGTACAGGAGGCACATGCCAGAACTATTGAACATATTTTTAGTGGTAGGGGAAACCGGAGTACCCGGAGGAAACCTACGCAAACACGGGGAGAACATGCAAACTCCACTCAGAAAGGCCCTGGTCTGACCGGGATTCGAACCCAGGACCTTCTTGCTGAGAGGCGAGAGTGCTATTCACTCAGCCACCGTGCCGCCAGTACTTTGTTGAATCTATGCCATTATGTACAACCATTCCCCGGTTTTGGGATCAGTGTTGGGCAGGTCTCAGCTCCAAAAGGTCCATGAGCACGTGCGCTGACATGCTTCAATACCACTCCTTGACTGTGGGGGTGTACCCGGAAGTCGAATTACCCAATGCTTTTGTATGGCGTCTTCTTTCGTCTTGAAAACGTCTTTACAGAATGGTCCAAAAATGGCTCTTGGTCCAAAGCTACGTTCCAGATGCTGTTGATGCTGAGAGGAGTATATTTTATTTGGACCAGTCTAGTTTAGCCGCTGTGGATTTTTGAATGCATTTGTTAAATGAATGGGGTCGGTGCAGCTAACGTACAGTTTCCTGCCCCGCGGCCATTTTGAAAAAGCCCGCAGAAGGCAAAAGCAAAAGCTCTATGAACCTCCCACAATAGCACAACAAGCTACATTTAGTTTGTATTTATATATTTAGTGAAAGTAACTTCAAATGAATGCAGCAGTAGAGTAATACTTCACACTTGGTAGGGTGGCACGGTGGTTGAGTGGATAGCACCTTCGCCTCTCAGCAAGAAGGTCCTGGGTTCGAATCCCAGGGCCTTTCTGAGTGGAGTTTGCATGTTCTCCCCGTGTCTGCGTAGGTTTCCTCCAGGTGCTCCGGTTTCCCCTACCACTAAAAATATGTACAATAGGTCTGGCATGCGCCTCCTGTACTGGCGACCCCGCTCCCAAAAAAAAATAACAATTGTAAACCGCTTTGAGACTCCGATGTGCTGTGAAAAGGCGGTATATAAATAAAGATTACTTACTACTACTTCAGAGGCAGTAATATTGTAGCGTAACACATTACTTTGAGATTACAGTTACAGTATAATCTCATGCAAACGCAGCAGTCCTGATGTGTCACTGAGGAGGCAGATGAGCAGGTGGGAGCAGGACATAAGACTTTTATCCTTGCGCTCTGGGAGATAGTGGTGTCAGAGGGATTGCCCAAAATAACTGCCCTGGTGTCGGGATGGTGCCAGTATCAACCGGGCGATAGGTCAGGGGAGAGGATGGGAACGGGTCATGGTCTGTCCAGGCTGAGGCCGAGGCATTTGGATTGGAATTCAACTCCAAAAAAGCATTGTGCTAATATTTGCATGGAGATTTATGACCGTAGATACCAAGGAAAGACTTTTAAATACAGTCAAATCAATGATGTATGTTTCTATTCACAATGGCTTAAGTTAAAGCGTATTCATTTCAAGATAAAATGATATTGGATATGACGGATGTGGTCGAAGGGAACTTAATACGTTTGACTTTTATGAAGCTTCCTGAAAATATGAGGCTTCCACCGACAATGTTAAATCCGCAGGTTTAAAACAGTTCTGTTTCACTGCAACAACTGCCTCTTATTTTGTATAAAAGTATAGCTCTCTGATTGAAAAAGGTTGGAAGGTTGGAATCTATCAGCTCCGTGCGCGTGTCAGTTGTGCACGTGTCAGTTGTGCGCGTGTCAGTTGTGATACTTGGACTAATTCGAAACCGGATCCAAGCCGTCCTCTCCCGCCATTAAACTGTGTGTTTTAATAATGACTAAATCTCCATCAGTCCAGACTCAGCCTTTGGTAAATATCAGTTCTATACAAACATCTCTCTATTTAGTTTATACTGTAACTGTAACTCTATTTTAAATTTAAATGTATTCTTTAGAAGTGTTTTTTATTCTTATTTTTATTATCTCTTTCTGACTGTTGCACTGAGCCAAAGCAATTTCCAAGTCTGTGACCTCCTGTTACTTACGTGGCAATAAAAATGATTCTGATTCTGATTCTGCTGCGGTCTCTGTGGATCCGCCGGGCACGCGCAGGAGCTCACCCCCCCCCCGCCGTGCACGCGCGTCATCCAAAACATGATCCACCACAGAGACCCGAGCGCGCACACGGGCCACACTCACGGAACAGACCCACGCTCATCTCTCAGACACCCGGGATTTATCTCACGCACAGAACACACTGAGGGGGCACGTGTGAAGCGGGGACAGAACGCGCTCCGGTAAGTTTAGATTTTAGATTTACATGTAATTTAGTCCAAAAAGAAAAAAAATATAACAGTTTGGTAATGTTTTTGTGCTGAACGTGATGGACGTGTCTCATAAACGTGTACGGATGCATTTCACTTTTAACAGTGAATTAGTAAGAGTTTGTAGAACGTGCAGTTTCTACTTTAATCTTTTGACTTCTTCATTATTGACATTATTCCATTACGTCCAAAAAGATTCTAAATTAAGCCACACAAAGTGATCTTAACCCGTGAGGACATTACTCTGCGGGACTTTTACTAGTTTTTGAAATAGTTACGATTATTATGATGAATTTTGGTTATTTCTCCAATCATTTAAAGGGAATGTCTTTGATGCGGTCTAAATATCGGCCTCGTCCTTAAAGCGACAGTGCACATTTTAAAACCACTTGATTCTTAGACAAAACAGAAGCTGCCAAACGTGGAGGACGTGATCACAGAGACACAAAAACAAAAACAATATTAATTTTTCTCTTTGTAACTTTAACACCGGAGATCAGACCGTAGTGGCAAGAGTTGGGAAAGTTACCCTCAAACTTACTTCATGTCATATATTTATACATTTACAACAATATTACTACATTTGAAGTGTTACCTTGAGTCTAAAACAATAACGCATTTGTTTTTAATGCAGAAAATTCAGACAAAACTCACAGAAAAGTTTAAATGATTATTTTAGTAAATTAATTGTAATCAGTGGGAGAATAAAGTCCATACATAATAAATTTACCGTAGAAGGGGACGTATTAAAGCTGGTTTGGTTTTGCTTTTAAAATGTGACACTGTAGCCCTGGAATTTCCCTGAATCTCGCCTGAATTTAAATCATCTTTACCGTGTTCCTCATTTCTATTTTCTTATTTATAACAATATTTCTAGATTTGAAGTGTAGCAGATTTGAGCAACTGTTGCCTTGAGTCTAAAATACTTATACTACGTTTTTTTTATGCAGATATTTCAGAAAAGACTCAAGTTTAAATGATCTTTTTGTGATGAATTATATGATATTATATTATTATTATGAATGAATAATAAACAGTGGGAGAATAAAGCCCAATCCAAAATAATTAAGCCGTAATATTTCAACTTGAATGACTAAAATTGTAACTCTAAATTTCCTGGTTTGGTTTTGTTTTTAAAATGTGTTCCTCATATGGCTTTGTTTTCCAAGTTCCTGGATCTCGGGAACTTCCCTGAGAGAGAGAGAGAGAGAGAGAGAGAGAATTCCCGCTTTAAAATAATGTGTATTTTTTGGCATAATATCAACTTCCTGTTCCTTCTCTATATTCAAAGTATTATCGTCTCCATGGCAACGGCACTGGACCCTATTGGGAAAGTTGCATATTTAGCTTCTGTCTTTATGGGGATTTTACAAACGGCGTGGACTGTTGTCTCATAGATATAGATATTTTATTGATCCCTGTATGATTCAGAAAAACATCCATTCATACAAACGTAAATAAATATATAATTCTAAAAGTTACTGACAAAAGTAAAAATCCGAGACAGACCAGAGGCAGGTTCAGAAGTCTCGGTTCTTAGAGTTTGTTCAGGCAGTTGAAAAGGAGCTGGAGAAAAATATCTTGAAAAAAATAAGAAAAACATATATGAAAATAAGTAAAATACTGTCTAAAATAATAAAAATAATCTGTCAATAGAACAAGGAAATAATAATAATAAAATTCTAGCCCAAAACAACTTGATTCTAGTTTAACAACATATATTTCAAGTATTATTTACAATTTTTTTTTAAATGTTTGAGAAAGGTTTGCTTAAAATTCAGCATAACAAACTTATTTTATCTAAAGAACAGGTAAAATAATTTAAAAAATACTTTAAACAAGCTTAAAATCTCACAGCTCAGACGTTTTTCTCTAAGATCATGAAATAGTATTATCTTAAAACTACAAAAAAAACTTGCCATTAAAAAGATTTGCATATTTTAAACTGATTTAACAAGATTTGACTATTTTCAGTGTATTATTATGAGATTATTCCGTCATATCACGTCAAATGGAAAGATGTTAAAGTCAAAATAACATCTCTTTCTCCTCCCGGTCTGAACAGGGCCTTTCTGAGTGGAGTTTGCATGTTCTCCCCGTGTCTGCATAGGTTTGCTCCGCGTGCTCCGGTTTTCCCCTACCACTAAAAACATGTACAATAGGTCTGTACTGTACTGGGAGGATGGAGAGAGAAAATTCCTAAAAAGCAATGATTGTAAAAGCGCTTTGTGACTCTGGTCTGTGAAATGCGCTATTTAATTAAAGATTACTTACATTTATGGACATGTGCCTCACCCCCAATACCATGTGTTTATGGTCTCTCCATCTAGTCTCTCTCCGCTCTCTCTCTGGTCTCTTTCTGGTCTCTCTCTGGTCCCTCACTGGTCTCTCTCTGGTCTCTCTCTGGTCTCTGTCTGGTCTCTCTTTGGCCTCTCTCTGGTCCCTCACTGGTCTCTCTCTGGTCTCTCTCTGGTCCCTCACTGGTCTCTCTCTGGTCTCTCTCTGGTCTCTGTCTGGTCTCTCTTTGGCCTCTCTCTGGTCCCTCACTGGTCCCTCTCTGGTCTCTCTCTGGTCTCTCTCTGCTCCCTCACTGGTCCCTCACTGGTCCCTCTCTGGTCTCTCTCTGGTCCCTCAGTGGTCTCTCTCTGGTCTCTCTCTGGTCCCTCACTGGTCCCTCTCTGGTCTCTCTCTGCTCCCTCAGCGGTCTCTCTCTGGTCTCTCTCTGGTCCCTCACTGGTCCCTCTCTGGTCTCTCTCTGCTCCCTCAGCGGTCTCTCTCTGGTCCCTCTCTGGTCTCTCTCTGCTCCCTCAGCGGTCTCTCTCTGGTCTCTCTCTGCTCCCTCACTGGTCCCTCACTGGTCTCTCTCTGGTCTCTCTCTGGTCTCTCTCTGGTCTCTCTCTGGTCTCTCTCTGCTCCCTCAGCGGTCTCTCTCTGGTCCCTCTCTGGTCTCTCTCTGCTCCCTCAGCGGTCTCTCTCTGGTCTCTCTCTGCTCCCTCACTGGTCCCTCACTGGTCTCTCTCTGGTCTCTCTCTGGTCTCTCTCTGGCCTCTCTCTGGTCCCTCTCTGGTCTCTCTCTGGTCCCTCAGTGGTCTTTCTCTGGTCTCTCTCTGGTCCCTCAGTGGTCTCTCTCTGGTCTCTCTCTGGCCTCTCTCTGGTCCCTCTCTGGTCTCTCTCTGGTCCCTCAGTGGTCTCTCTCTGGTCTCTCTCTGGTCCCTCAGTGGTCTCTCTCTGGTCTCTCTCTGGTCTCTCTCTGGTCTCTCTCTGGCCTCTCTCTGGTCCCTCACTGGTCTCTCTCTGGTCTCTGGTCTTGATTCTCTGATCTGTGTTGGTGACTGAACGCTTTTGTTCAGTCCTCTGACATAACTACTGTTGTGATTTAGGGCTAGACACGAATACATTGAATTGAATTGAATTTGAAGTGATAAAAGTCGTGAGTTTAACATTATTCTTATCTTTTCTCACACATTCAGCACATTCCACAGTATCTCAGAGTTATTGATCGGTTCATTGAATGTTTAACTGGAGGCAGTAGCCGGTCCATTTTACCCCCAAATGTCCCATTGCTGTGGTCCACTGATGCGTCTCAGTCAGAGGAGTGAGACTAAGCAACAACGACACACATTAAAAACGTTTAGAAATCATTTTAAACATCATATTGTAGAAAAAATACCAAGGTCTGGCAGCTCTCCTACATTTCTACGACAGCTTTTTGCCGTTTCTTATTGTTGTTAAAAGGTTTTCTCAAATTATTGATATGCCCTAATCCTTTTTGTCCTATTGTTTATTTTATTATAATTTTTTTTCTCCTGATTTTGCTTCTATTTTGAAAGGGTTTTGCCTCTTACTTTGGAGACTTTAATTTATGAATTGGATTAGGCAAAAATAAGTTCAGCCTAATCCCTTCGGTCACAATTGCGTTTGTAAATCTATGTTAAAGCACTACTGACATAACATCATTGTTTTTGTAACCTTGACCGAATAAACAAACCTACTACTACAGTATCTCCACTATGATAACAATCCCGGTGGAAAAGCAAACAAGACGACAGTGTTTTAACAACTGGACCTCGTCATTTTCCCAGTGACAGTTGTGTTGCGCTGAAATAGGTCCTGAGGGATCCCTGCGGAGCCCGGACAGTGACAGTTGTGTTGCGCTGAAATAGGTCCTGAGGGATCCCGGCGGAGCCCGGACAGTGACTGTGGTCGCAGCTGCCTCGCTGGGATCTCAGGCCTAATGACAGAGCCCTGACGGAGGCCGAGCTCTCTCTCTCTGTATCGAGTGTCCAGTCCTGGTTCATCAGAGCTTTTGTTTGAACATGGAATCAACAGGTGACGGGGATTAAGCAGCTGGTATTTGAAGTTCCAACAGGATTACTTCTCAGATCTGGGGTCTCTGCTGGGACTCGGGAGCTATATTTAGGATACGTGCCTTCTGGGTTCGCGTTTGTATTGTCTTGTAGTTAGATTCAGATTCTTTCTATTATTGGGTTGTTTGCAGTAAAATCACATTGGAATAGATGTGGTCTCTCTCTCTGTTCTTTCTTTGGTCTTTTTCTGGACCGTTTCTGTCTTTCTGGTCTCTCTCTGTTTTCTTTCTGGTTCTCTCTGGTCCTTCTCTGGTCCCTCTATCTGGTCTCTTTCTAGTTTTTCTCTGGTCTCTTTCTGGTCTCCCTCTAGTCTCTCTCTGTAGTCTCTCTCTGGTTTGTCTCTGTTCTTTCTGGTTTCTCTCTGGACTTTTAAGCTACATTTAGGATACGTGCCTTTTGTGTGCATATTTATATTTGGATTCATAAAGAACATCCAGAACAGACAGCTCACATCTCTCTCTCAGATTGGAGAACCTCTCTGGTCTCTTTCTGGTCGGTCTCTGGTCTCTCTCTGGTCTCTCTCTGGTCCCTCACTGGTCCCTCACTGGTCTGGTCGGAGTGATTCAAAGTTGTTGCCTCCATTTAGTTTCTAAGTAAGTAGCAAGAACATTAATAGTTAATTTATTATTCACACATAAACAGTTACTTTTTTGAAATATGAATCACACATTTCTTAAAATATAGATTAAATATTCACTTAACCCTCTGTCTCTGTCTCTGCCTCAGTCTCTGCCTCTGCCTCTGCCTCTGCCTCTGCCTCTGCCTCTGTCTCTGCCTCTGTCTCTGCCTCTGCCTCTGCCTCTGTCTCTGCCTCTGCCTCTGCCTCTGTCTCTGTCTCTGTCTCTGCCTCTGCCTCTGCCTCTGCCTCAGTCTCTGCCTCTGCCTCTGTCTCTGTCTCTGCCTCTGTCTCTGCCTCTGCCTCTGTCTCTGCCTCTGCCTCTGCCTCTGCCTCTGTCTCTGCCTCTGCCTCTGCCTCTGTCTCTGTCTCTGTCTCTGCCTCTGCCTCTGCCTCTGCCTCAGTCTCTGCCTCTGCCTCTGCCTCTGTCTCTGTCTCTGCCTCTGCCTCTGCCTCTGTCTCTGCCTCAGTCTCTGCCTCTGCCTCTGCCTCTGTCTCTGTCTCTGCCTCTGCCTCTGCCTCTGTCTCTGCCTCAGTCTCTGTCTCTGCCTCTGCCTCTGTCTCTGTCTCTGCCTCTGCCTCTGCCTCTGCCTCTGCCTCTGTCTCTGCCTCTGCCTCTGCCTCTGTCTCTGTCTCTGCCTCTGCCTCTGTCTCTGTCTCTGCCTCTGTCTCTGCCTCTGCCTCTGTCTCAGCCTCTGCCTCTGCCTCTGCCTCAGCCTCTGTCTCTGCCTCTGCCTCTGTCTCTGCCTCTGCCTCTGCCTCAGCCTCTGACTCTGCCTCAGTCTCTGCCTCTGTCTCTGCCTCAGTCTCAGTCTCTGTCTCAGTCTCTGTCTCTGCCTCTGTCTCTGCCTCTGCCTCAGTCTCAGTCTCTGTCTCAGTCTCTGTCTCTGCCTCTGTCTCTGCCTCTGCCTCAGTCTCAGTCTCTGTCTCAGTCTCTGTCTCTGCCTCAGTCTCTGCCTCTGCCTCTGCCTCAGTCTCAGTCTCTGTCTCAGTCTCTGTCTCTGCCTCTGCCTCTGCCTCTGCCTCTGCCTCTGCCTCTGCCTCTGCCTCAGCCTCTGTCTCTGCCTCTGCCTCTGCCTCAGTCTCAGTCTCTGTCTCAGTCTCTGTCTCTGCCTCAGTCTCTGCCTCTGCCTCTGCCTCAGTCTCAGTTTGATGATGGAGAATCCGCAGGGTGCCAAAGACCACATCTGAGTGCCATCTCCCACTGTTTGCACATTGGCAGTGCGTCCGCGAGGCTAACATTTCAGGAAATTATTCTCTTTGAGCCAAAAGTGAAGTTATGCAAGAACAAGTTGAACTGAAGTTGGACGGGGAAGTTCAGAGCACACCAGAACAATGTGGGCTCTATTCTAGTTCTCCAAAACAGTAGCAGGCGGTGGTGGGACGGATGTTTATAATCTGCATTCAGAGAGAAAGCAGCTCAATCACTTTCGCACTTACACATTTATTTTATTTTTTTCCTTTTTGACTGTTTTTAAGTGATACAGATTCTATTTCACATTCATTATTAGAACATATAACTTTGCTCTGTCTTTGCACTTACAATTGAATTCAGTTCAATGTGGGAGGGGCTGCCCACGGCCATTTTGAATCCGCTCATGTCTGTGGAACATACATTTCAAAAGGAGGAAATAGGCGTCATTACGTCCGTTAATATTTACTGTCCATGTCCCTAAATCATAACTGCAGTCGTCTGGGAGTAATCACCAACAATAAATCAGAAAATCAACCACAATCAAACACATATGAGACATAGGTCCATAATGAGCAGAGACAAATGTCCATGAATGTCCTTAAAAGTCTCAGATCATCACTGTCCTTAGACCTTCATCCATCGGACAGGACTGAGGCTGTAGATCCAGGACTCAGGCTGTAGACCCAGGACTGAAGCTGTAGATCCAGGACTGAGGCTGTAGATCCAGGACTGAAGCTGTAGATCCAGGACTGAGGCTGTAGATCCAGGACTCAGGCTGTAGACCCAGGACTGAAGCTGTAGATCCAGGACTGAGGCTGTAGATCCAGGACTGAAGCTGTAGATCCAGGACTGAGGCTGTAGATCCAGGACTCAGGCTGTAGATCCAGGACTGAAGCTGTAGACCCAGGACTGAGGCTGTAGACCCAGGACTGAGGCTGTATAGATCCAGGACTCAGGCTGTATAGATCCAGGACTCAGGCTGTAGACCCAGGACTGAAGCTGTAGATCCAGGACTGAGGCTGTAGATCCAGGACTGAGGCTGTAGATCCAGGACTGAGGCTGTAGATCCAGGACTGAAGCTGTAGATCCAGGACTGAGGCTGTAGATCCAGGACTGAGGCTGTAGATCCAGGACTGAAGCTGTAGATCCAGGACTGAGGCTGTAGATCCAGGACTGAAGCTGTAGATCCAGGACTGAGGCTGTAGATCCAGGACTGAGGCTGTAGACCCAGGACTGAGGCTGTAGATCTAGGACTGAGGCTGTAGATCCAGGACTGAGGCTGTAGATCCAGGGCTGAGGCTGTAGATCCAGGACTCAGGCTGTAGATCCAGGACTGAAGCTGTAGATCCAGGACTGAGGCTGTATAGATCCAGGACTCAGGCTGTATAGATCCAGGACTCAGGCTGTAGACCCAGGACTGAGGCTGTAGACCCAGGACTGAAGCTGTAGATCCAGGACTGAGGCTGTAGATCCAGGACTGAGGCTGTAGATCCAGGACTGAGGCTGTAGATCCAGGACTCAGGCTGTAGACCCAGGACTGAAGCTGTAGATCCAGGACTGAGGCTGTAGATCCAGGACTGAGGCTGTAGACCCAGGACTGAGGCTGTAGATCTAGGACTGAGGCTGTAGATCCAGGACTGAGGCTGTAGATCCAGGGCTGAGGCTGTAGATCCAGGACTCAGGCTGTAGATCCAGGACTGAAGCTGTAGATCCAGGACTGAGGCTGTATAGATCCAGGACTCAGGCTGTATAGATCCAGGACTCAGGCTGTAGACCCAGGACTGAGGCTGTAGACCCAGGACTGAAGCTGTAGATCCAGGACTGAGGCTGTAGATCCAGGACTGAGGCTGTAGATCCAGGACTGAGGCTGTAGATCCAGGACTCAGGCTGTAGACCCAGGACTGAGGCTGTAGATCCAGGACTGAGGCTGTAGATCCAGGACTGAGGCTGTAGATCCAGGACTGAGGCTGTAGATCCAGGTCCGAGGCTGTAGATCCAGGACTGAGGCTGTATATCCAGGACTGAGGCTGTAGATCCAGGACTCAGGCTGTAGACCCAGGACTGAGGCTGTAGATCCAGGTCTGAGGCTGTAGATCCAGGTCTGAGGCTGAAGATCCAGGTCTGAGGCTGTAGATCCAGGACTGAGGCTGTAGATCCAGGACTGAGGCTGTAGATCCAGGACTCAGGCTGTAGAACGTTTTTGGATGATTGTGTATCTTTCTGGTTGTAGGAGGAGCCACAGAGATGTCCAGATCCACAAAATCAGCTTCGAGGTCTCGGAGCCGCTCGCGATCGCGCTCAAGGTCTTCTTCCAAAAGCCGCTCACGGTCTCGCTCCAGGAAGCATCGCTACAGGTAATTTCAGACTTTTGTTTGGAATCATGAATGAGTAAAACTTTACATTATCCCTGTAGAAGGAGATTGGGAAAATATGATAAAAATTACAAAATAGAGAATTAAACATCATCTTGGAGAGACCTGTAGACCCAGGACTGAGGCTGTAGATCCAGGACTGAAGCTGTAGATCCAGGACTGAGGCTGTAGATCCAGGACTGAAGCTGTAGATCCAGGACTGAGGCTGTAGATCCAGGACTGAGGCTGTAGACCCAGGACTGAGGCTGTAGACCCAGGACTGAGGCTGTAGACCCAGGACTGAGGCTGTAGATCCAGGACTGAGGCTGTAGACCCAGGATTGAGGCTGCAGATCCAGGACTGAGGCTGTAGATCCAGGACTGAGGCTGTAGATCCAGGACTGAGGCTGCAGATCCAGGACTGAGGCTGTAGATCCAGGACTGAAGTTGTAGACCCAGGACTGAGGTTTTAGAACCTTAGAATAGATACTAGTTCATTCAAAACCATAACAAAACTACAAATATGTATGACATTTTTCTCTGAACTTGTGCCTTAGAGAAAGTATCCTGGGGCGATACTGCTACTTTGGCACCTAAAGGTTTAACATCAATATCTTCTGTTCTAACATCAAAAAAGTTTTCAGTATATAGTGTTTTTAGTAACAGTTATAATGCATTTTAAGTGTGCTGAAAGCTGCCTGTATGTGTTGACTCTAAAATGAAAACAAAACTAAAGTCATAAATTTGCATGTGTGAAAGCTAAAACTGGGCATGTTTATATTTGAGCAGGTGCTGTGCTGTCAAATCCCATCATTTCATCTAGAAACTTTACATATATTACAGTTGTAGTATTTTCTTCCGCTTAATCCGTTGCTGGGTTGCGGGGGCAGCAGTCTAAACAGAGACACCCAGACTTCCCTATCCACACATATTTAACCCGTGTGCTTCCCTCGAGCCTAAAAGACCTGCCACTGAGGTTAAAGGCAGAATAAAAACGCCTTAAATTATGGTCTAAATTATCCACGGCTGGTGAAGTTACCAAAAATCACCCTAGAAAAAGACATAATTAGGGTGTTTTTTTAATCATTAGCGGGTCAAATATCACCTGAGGATAGCACAAAGGCCAAAAAACATGACTTTTACTTCTTTTATGTTGGAGTTAAAGAGGAGATTACAGCTCCTTTACCAATCCCCTGTAGTGTGAGCTGTCTGGCACACACAGGGTCAAGAGAGGGAGTTTTTTCCTCTGTGGCTCGGAGCTCGCAGCAGTCTGTAACTGACTCTGTGCGCTGCTGCATTGTGCTTTCTCCTTTCCTTATTCCAATGAAAAGGCACAAGCGGTGAGTTCCTTTTGAGTTCTGCTGTATTCAGTGCCATGATTTTGCATGTGTTTTGTTTGTATGTTTCTCGCACGCTCTACAACTGTTCTTTCAAAAGCACATGTGATTTTCTTTTGTCTGTAAAATGTCGCCATAATAAGTCTTTTTTAATAATCTTGTTACTGCTTTGCTTTGACTGAACATCTGTTGTCTACTGTATATTTGGGGGAAAGTATATAATAAAGTATTGTTGCGACTGCTATCAATGGAAAATGCAGTATGTGAGACTGTCAATATTTAGGCTGTTTTTTAAAGCCGTCTGCTGCCCCCTTGTGGCCTGTCCATGCATTTATTTTTATTTGCTTTATTTCATGAGTTAGAGCAGGGGTCTCCAACCTTTTTCGATCAGAGAGCTACTTTCATGCAACAGAAGAGGCAGAGAGCTACTCCTTTTTGTGGTCAAAATACAAATCTCTAATATTTATGACAAAACATGAAAAACAAATGTAAAAAGTACCATAATACTGTACTGCCCCATATTTATACTCATAATAGATATGTATTGGCTCAAGAGTTAATCATTAAAGATTATGAGTAAAATTCTAAATCCTTTGGGGAGCCACCTGAAAGGGGCTGGCGAGCTACTGGTAGCTCCTGAGCCGCAGGTTGGAGACCCCTGAATTAGAGGCAGAAAACATAGACAAGCTGACTTACAGTAGTCTAATGTGAGCATCATGGTGCTTAAAGCCAAAGCTAATTTGCAGCCAGGATTTGACACACAGATTACAGATGATAAAATGAACTAAAAATACATGACAAGCACAATATTACAAACATAACAGGGAGACAGTTGTAGAGTAATATTTAAATGAATGTCTCTTTTGTCAGTTCTCGGTCCAGGTCAAGATCCAGGTCTCGGTCTCGGTCTAGGTCTCCTGCTTATAACCGAGACAAGAAGTATCCTCGTTCGTACCAGAATAGCCGTGAGAGTCGGGGCTTCCAGCGCGGCTTCAGACGCCCCTACAACTTCAGAGGTCGAGGTCGAGGGCGTGGTTACTTCCAGCGCGGACGCTACCAACGTGGAGGAGGAGGATACAACAACAACAACAACAATAACAACAACAACAATCGTCACAACTGGAAAAACTATAAGAAGCAGCCCAAGTATTCACAAGGGCAGTTCCACAATGGTCCAGGTCATTCTCGAAGCCCTCCCCAGGGGCAGAACCATCACTCTGAGCCGTCCTGCTCCCCTCAGCCCCGACTGTCCTCCTCACCCAAGAGCACAGTCAACAGAAACCCCAAACATGAGCCGGAGGAGCTCTCTGGGCACAATCCAGAAGAGAGAGACACCAAAGGGGAGGAATACATGATGGAAACAAATAAGGCAAGTGATGAAAAGAATCAAGGGACTTGGATCCCTCTAACAGAAGTCAGCAGCCCCAGGAGAGAGAGCCCCCCCTCCTCCTCTGGAGCTACCTCTGCTCCCACCCCTCAGACTACTGCCAATGGCAAGAGCAATGGGGCCCTCTGCTGGAAGAATGTGTGCAAAGCACCGCTGACAAAGAAGACTTCCCCAGAGAGCCTGAACCCAATGCTCTCCAGCTTTGACATCTTCTCTTCAGAAGAGTTTTTGGATGGAGATAAAGCAGCTCTCTCTGCTGCTTTCAGAAAGTAAGGCACATGCACTGGATTTCTTTAATATGCTTTACTTTGACAGTATCAGAAACATTTATGTACGATAATATATGCATATTTTTCACTTCACGTGTGTTGTATGCTACAGTAATGTTTGCCGTTCTCTCACTCATTTGTTTAGATTTCTGGAAGAGCAAAGTAAAAAAGCAAAGGCGTTGCATAAAGGCACAGACCGTGCTGGAGATGAAGAATCAAAGGTAAATGGAACAGCGTCTCCTGCTCGCTCTGGCTCAGGATGTGGACATGAGAAGGATGTCAGTGACGAAAAGCACATCAATGGCATTCGAAACACGTTTGCTTTTCGTGCTGGGAATGGAGGGAATGACGACAAAATGATCAAAAGTCAAACAGGGTCATTCCTCAGTGAGAAAGGGCTGAGAGAAAAGCCAACATCCTCAGGCCAAACGTCTGCAGAGAGTAAGAGGCCGAGCGCAGCCTCTGGGTCTGCTGTGGAGGACCTGTGCTCTCGGCAGAACCAGGAGTCTGCTTTTGCTTCTGCGTTTACTAAAATGGAGACATTATGCATGTCTGAGGATTCTTCTTCTGACAGAAGTTGCAAAGCCAGAAAGATGTCTAAAAGGTCTCCTGTCCCTCTGAATGTAATGTCACAAAAGAGGGGCAGGGATTTGTCCACAGACGAGGACTTTAAGGTTTTGCCAACGAAAAAGGAGGCTACGTTTGATGTGAGTTTGGACTTTCCTGCTGATAATCTCTTAAGGTAAATATCTAAACATGATTCAATATTATTACATATGAATGAGACGTCACAACATGTCCCCTCTTTTCTACTCCAGCTCTTCTGATATAATAGCCAAGGAGCGACAGTTGTCTCAGGATCTGGTGCAGTCTCAGTCTTCCAAAAAAGACTCGGAGTTTCATTCTATCTTTCAGCACGTTCAGGCCGCGCAGGTGCAAAGAAGTTCCTCAGAGCGGTTTGCCCAGCACATTGTCACCATTGTGCATCATATAAAAGGTAAACCAAACATCGAATCCAGGGGTCTCCAACCTGTTTCCATTGGAGAGCTACTTTTACAAAACCAAAATGGCAGAGAGCAATTATAGTCTATATAATATCTACAGCCAATAATGGAGAACACACATCACATTATACCAATACACAGTATCCCAGTGTTACGCTAGCTTGGGCTAGGAGGGAGCCGACTTGTGGCTAGAAGTAGGAGTACGAACCAGTGTGGGCGGGTCCCGGCTCCAAAAGGTCCATGAGCACGTGCGCTGACATGCTGCAATCTCACTCCTTGCTGGTGGGGGTGTACCCGGAAAGAGAATTACCCAATGCTTTTGTATGGCGTCTTCTTTCCTCTAGAAAACGTCTTTACAGGGTGATCCAAAAGTGGCTCTTTGTCCAAGCCAGGTTCCAGATACTGTCGAATCTGAGGAGAGTATTTTTTTGGATCAGTCTAGTTTTGCCATTGTGGACTAGTGTTGGCTTACGCAAGTGTGTTTTTAAAATGTTTCAGTCCTGCAGCCATTTTGAAAAATCCCACAGATGGCAGCAGTGGTGGCACATTAGTTTCAACGGCGGTGATAGGCGTGACTAAGGCAGCAGCAAGGAAAGACCTTCGGATCCTCTCCTTCACACAGCGAGGGTGCATAAGTCTGTCACTGAAGCTACTCTCCACAGCAGACAGAGTGTCCTGCAGGGGGCGACTGTCACGGCCTGTAGACACAAAAGTCCAAACAAAAATCAAGTGCTTAAATGCAAGACAAAATTCAGTTCATTGAAGAAAATAATTTATAGTTTAAATAGATGGATATGTAAGGACTCAAAAATAATCATTCAGGATCATGTGTTAAATTCTTGAATCCTTGGAAGGCGAGCCACAGTTTGGAGACCCCTGATCTAATCCTTCACGCTGTTATTATGAATCTGTGTGTCATTGTGTGATGCGTTCAGGTACATGTCCTGCTCTGTTGAACAAGACAGAGGACCACAAGACAAAAAACAAGCCACTATTCACAGATGAGTGGAGAGACAGATCATTTAAAGGCAAGTTTCTTTTTCCTGCACAGCTCAGCACTTTACCTCGTCTGGACTGACGCTAAACGAGAGGTTCACCATGTACCAAAAACAAGCTGCAGAGAAGGAAACAGTCAAATCACGGAAAAGCCCAGAAATACACAGGTAGTTTTGTTCTCTTTTATATTTCACTGAGTATGACTTCTGATTTAACTTGAACGGCATGCTTACAGTGACGCCAAGTGTATCAATGTTAGCCCTTTAAAATGTGTTGCAGTGACTTATGGGTAAGAACTATCACCATGTTTTTCGGGTTTTGTGTCCATGGCCACAATTCAATTCAATATATTTTTGTATTTTTGCCCTAATTCACAACAGTAGATACCTCAGAGGACTTTACACACTGGAAAACCTCCCTTGAAAAACATGAATGAAAATAAGTAAAATACTGCTTGAAATAATAATAAATTATCTGCCAATATCCATTTATCCATCCTTCTTCTTCCCCTTAATCCATTTCTGGGTTGGGGGTGGCAGTCAGGGTTCCTGCAGGTGGTGAGTCCACAGGAGCCTTGATCTTTCAGCGGGGGTTTCAGGCAAAGTGGGGTTAAGTGTCTTGCCCAAGGACACAACGACAGCAGACATCAGTGGGAGTTGGTGGAGAAGGTCTCGTGGTGGGATCGAACCCACGACCTTCAGGCTCAAAGGCCGATGCTCTACCAACTGAGAAATAAGTCAGAAATTGCTCAAATTTGACTTAATTTGAGTACATTCTAACTGCCTTAAAACGAGATTTGAGATTTGAAGAACCGTTGCTGTATTTTCTCTTTCCAAGGGAGACTCTTCTTGCATCTTTTGAAAACAAGACACTTTTGCTTGTGACGAAAAGAACAAAGTCTGGGATCGTGTCGGACAGAAGACACGTTTTATTGTCGATAGAGACGAGACACGGACAAAGATTCGCAGAATGCAAGTGATTTTTCAGGATTCGTCACTCGGAAAACCAAAACAACTTATCCCATTGGCAAATCTTGTTTTAAGGCAGTCAAAATGACCTAAAATGTAGATACATTTTGCCAAACTTGAGCAATTTCTTACTTATTGTTCATCACATTTTTGCATTGTGAGTTCTTGACCGTTGGGTTCTTGACTTGTGGGTGGTCTCTGGTCTGTCTGAGTGGCTTTTCTCCCACAATACACTGGTCTTAGGTCAACTAACGGTAAAGGCCAAAGGTCAAAGGTCCAGTGTCGTAAACATACCTTCACACGTGTCGTTTGTGCTCTTTGCGATGCATTGTCAAGAAACATCAACAAACAAAACCATTTGTCTTTTTCCAGGAGACTTGAGGTTTCGCCCAGTGCGTTCAGGAAGCACTCTCAGATATTTGAGGCGATAAAAAGAGCAGAAGAAGCCACTTACAAGGTGACTGATAACGTTTCCGTGTGAAATCAGTGTGAAAACCCAACAGCAAATAATGAGCCAGCCTGTAGCTCCCTCAACGCCCGAGGGGAGGAGCTGTGGATGCTAAGTTCACAAAGACACATTACGGCTGCTTGTCTGTTGTTATACCTGTCACCACAACATGAGGGTTTGATTAAAAAGTGGGCAAAAGCCAAAACCAGGCAAAAGTAAGAAGCCGCTGTGCCCTTGCATTCAAAGGAATCTAAGCAGAAGTCTTTGTAAGTATGTTTTAACACAAGTGACATGACTAAACTTGATTTCTATTGCCAGACTTTTGGACTGTCAGAATATACAGTAAAATAAGTCTTTGGAAAGCGAAGTGTGTTGCATGCATGGCAGAGAAAAGTCTACGGACATCTGCGCACCAACCCCAAGTCTATCCACCACAATGTGTTTTGTTCTAACCCGCTCAGGAGCCGGAAGAACCAAGCAAAGCAGACCCACTGGACCTCCGAGGGGATATTGAACAACGCAAAAGTCACTGTAGCCATGATACAAGCGTGGCCAGTGCGGAACGCCATGATCCCAGCGCGGGGAAGACTCCGGTGGTGTTTTCTAAGTTCATGTACGTACACAGACTGAAGGATCCTGACGTCATCGCTGGTCCGCCGTGTTTACAGGACTCACTCTATATGTCGGTTTTTTTCTTTGCAGTAAAAATAAAAATGTCCGATCGCGCTCTTCTAGTTCATCTTCATCATCGTCGTCGTCGGAGGAGGAGGAAAAACGGGATAAAAAGTCCCCGGTGAAGTCTGAGCAGGGGTTGAACAGAGTCAAACTGGACACGAATGAAAGCGTTTGTGACAGAGGACGCTCGTATGAAGCTTTTGTAAGTTCTCCGCATTTACGGCAAGAATTAACAGCATTTAGAAACTAGCAGAACTCCCAGAGCCGACGTTTTGACTGCTCTCATTCAAACCAATGGAATTCTGAGAAATTCCCCACAAAAAGTAATTCGTTTTCACCGGATTCATTAAAAGTTTAGACAAAGCTGTTGTTTATTGGTCAGTTTAACACACTTTCTCACTCTCTCCCTTTTCTCTTCCTTCTATTTCTTCTGCCTGTCCCCCATTCAAGTTGTGTCTTGTCAAGCCCTTGCCTCCTTTCTGTGATCATTCATTTAAAGAAAAAGAAAGTCGACCTTCCGAAAGGGAGTGTTGGCAAAAAAAGACAATGATACAGGCTTAAAACAAAGAGGTAAAGGTAAAAAAAAATGTTATTATTGTCGGGACGTTCTCTGGTCTTCATCAAGGCAAGTGATGAAGACCTTTTCCACTTTGTTTTCCCATGGATCCTTGAAAAGCACTGACCCCTCACGTGTTTTCATCCCCGTACTCACTCGTCCTTCCGTTTAATCTAAACTTGACTCTGGCCACTTTTACTTTGTGCCTGAACTGGTGAATATACAGTTTGTTGAAAGGCTAATGCTAACGGCTGCAAGTAAACAGTGCGTTGCTATGGTACGCTGGGAGAGCTCAAATGGATTGTGTTAAGGACAGTGGTGACGACCCAGGACACTCCACATTTATGGACTCTGCCCCTTATGGATGAATGAATTTCTATTATGGCACGGTGGCTGAGTGGATAGCACTCTCGCAAGAAAATCCTGGGTTCGAATCCTGTTCGCAACGGGGCCTTTCTGAGTGGAGTCTGCATAGATGGTCTGTGAGAGGCGCTATATAGATTAAGATTACTTACTTATTTTTGCATTTCTTGTGTTTAAACTGTGTGATTCTCTGATCTGTGTTGGAGAATTCAACGGTTTTGTAAAGACCTCCAAGATAACTGCTGTTGTGATTTGAAGTAACGTTGAATTGAATTGTTAAGTTAACCTTGTTTGGCGTTTGTCGCAGCACATTCAGATCCGAGGGCGAAGCTGGAGCCGGGGAACCTCTCGATGTAGCTCAACAAACGCCAACAATGAAGACTGGGACCCGGAGTTCACCCCGAAAAGCAACAAGTACTTTTTAGTAAGAGGAAAATTCTGATTCATCTTCAAAACTGCACTTTAACCCTGTGTATTTACTGGAACTGTGTGTATTTTTCAGCACGACGACCGAGACGGCGCCGCTGAGAGCCGGTGGGCCGACGCCACCAGCGCCAGAGGCCGAGGCCGAATGAACGGTTCGCGTGGACGAGCTCGTTTCATCATTCGCAGAGCTAACGGGAACTATAGCGCCTCCAACTGGAACAACAGGGAACAAGCAGGCGCCGAGCAGGACCACAGAGGCAGCACTGAACGGAAATGACCTGCTGCGAATGTGTTTGTGTACATGTGGCTGTGCTTATTCTTCTTCTTCTATAGGGGTGTCTTTTTGAGCGTTGGAGTTGTATTTGAATTATTATGCATTATTTTTGGCCATTAAAATGATAAATGAGGCTGTTTACTTTGTCATTTCATGTGTTAGAATGTGAAATAAGTCAAAAATGTAGTGTGAAACAGGTGTTAAGGGTGATCTATTTATCTGCCTGCAACTCCAAATGCTGCCACCAGAGGGAGGTGTCTTTTTTTTTTTTTTTTTTTCGCAAGTATGAAAGTTACCAGCTTGTTTTTTTCTTTTTGGTTATATTTTTATAACATTTTATGAATACATTTTACCCCCAGTCCCTCCCACAACATCACCAAGAGGAGAGAAGCATATGACATTTACTAAAACATACATTTATAAGAAAAAAAGAAAGAGGAATATTCAGATTCATTTATTTGCCATTTGCAGTAAAACCACATTGGAAAAACTGTGCAAGACTACCCCAGTGTGCACCGGACGACACACACCAGAGCTCTTGCCAATATTAAATAAAACTAATCATGATTATCAAATAAATAATAATAATAATGAAAAGAAAGGTCGCTTGAATTGGGTGTTTTTTAATCTTCATTTTAGTACATTCTGACTGTTTTAAAACAATAATATTATAATAGAAATAATAATAACAATAGATAATCTTGTTTTAAGGCAGTCAAAATGTAGCCTGGCTCTGCCAGACCGTTGTAGTTCCGCCATGCTCCACCAGAGGCGTTTGGCTGAACCACATGGGTCTGGTATCGACAGCATAGCGAACGCCTTCCCCAGATTATTTTTTAATCGACCAATCAGGATTGCCGGTGTTACGTGGGGTTTGCACTGCCTTCTCAAGCTTCTCTCATGCAGCGGCGAGGGGAATCCAAGATGGCGGACGTAAAGTCCGCGAATCTTTTTAAAAGAGTAAATACGATCGAATTAAGACACGGATGTCACTTTTGATGCAATTTGAGGCGAGATGTTGATGGTTCTATGTTGATATATGTGTGTTTTAAGAGTCAAAGGTTCCTGTAAAGTTTGGTTGAAGCACTGGTTCAGTGTTCCTGTTTACACTATGCAGCAGGGTTGCCAGGTTTGGTGGTTCACGCATATTTTTTTCCAAGAGACTTGTAGGTATTAAATAAACAGAAAGACAATAAACAGAATCATGATAGCCCAAGTTGATTACATTATGTTTTTAGCCAAAAAATCATTCTGAGTGTTTTTTTTTTTTTTTTTTTGGGTATTCTCGCGGATTTTGGGTTGGAAAATCTTGCTGGGATTTGGCAACCTATGGGAGCCGTGTGCTTCGATGTGAGTGGTTGAAAGCAGACTTCATTCAAGATAACGGACAAGTGGTCTATCCAATCACATACAAGGATTTTTTTACAAGGCCCTGCCTTCTGAAATCCAACCACTGTGGCTCAGTACCAGACTCATGTGTGAAGTTCAGCGAACTACATGGGTCTGGCCAGAGTCAGGCTAGTCAAAATGTGCTTAATTTAAGATAATTTTTTCCAAAACTGAGACATTTTTTAAACTTTGTTATCCCTTTTTTTGTGTATTATTTTATTTTAAAAATCCATTATTGAGGATTTAGAAGCAGAACTATCAATGCAAATCAATGAACTGGGAGATTATTATGAAATGATGATGATGATCGTGTGTGAGGTCATGGCATGGATCTATTTTAATAACGGGGTCAAGAACCAAGACCCTTTAAAGTTTAGGAGAAATATTTGCCTCAGTCTTTAACTATGGACAAAGTTATTTCTGGGCTTTGGACTAGACTTTGATAGACTTTCGAACCAGTCTAATCCAGATTCACATTTCTGTCTGTTATTGTAATCTTTTGTTGGTTCGTTTCTGATTGGCCTCAACTTTTAGTAGTAATTCATAATTAATTTTAACATCTGATTGTTTTTGATCCCTAGTTTAGAAGTAGTTTTTAATCTCTACATGTAAAAAGACGGTTTTGTCGTCCTATGTTAAAGGTGCAGTAAGCGATGTTGTTAGCTTAGCCGTAGCACCAACTGGAAACCACTCCCCCCTCCCCTCCCCTCTCCACCAGATTCAGATTCAGTTTATTTGCCATTTGCAGTAAAAAAAAACCACATTGGAATACATTAGCAAAAGTCACCAGTGTGCACAGACAAATACAGACATAAAACAACATAAAAGACAAAAAATAAAACAAATAAAACAGTAAACAAGTTTCACTGTGAAATCGATCGACTAAAACAGTTTCTAAACAAGTGCAAATCATTAAAGTGCTCTGTTCACACTGATAACAGCTTGTGGATAAAAACTGTTAGCGTAACGAGATGTCCTGCATCTCAGAGAACGATATCTTCTGCCAGAGGGAAGAAGCTGGAACATGGCTTTCCCAGGGTGGCCAGAAGAGTCATTAACAATCCTAAGAGCTTTGTTTAAAAGTCTGGATTTATAAAGAACCTCCAGAACAAGAAGCTCACAGCCCACGGTCCTCTTTCTGGTCTCTCTCTCTGGTCTCTCTCTGGTCTCTCTCTGGTCTCTCTCTCTGGTCTCTCTCTGGTCTCTCTCTGGTCTCTCTCTGGTCTCTCTCTGGTCTCTCTCTGGTCCCTCTCTGGTCCCTCTCTGGTCTCTCTCTGGTGTCTCTCTGGTCTCTCTCTGGTCTCTCTCCTGTCTCTCTCTGTCCTCTCTGGTCCCTCTCTGGTCCTCTCTGGTCTCTCTCTGGTCTCTCTCTGGTCTCTCTCTGGTCCCTCTCTGGTCTCTCTCTGGTGTCTCTCTGGTCTCTCTCTGGTCTCTCTCTGGTCTCTCTCTCTGGTCTCTCTCTGGTCCTCTCTCTGGTCCTCTCTGGTCTCTCTCTGGTCTCTCTCTGGTCTCTCTCTGGCTCTCTCTCTGGTCTCTCTCTGGTCTCTCTCTGGTCTCTCTCTGGTCTCTCTCTGGTCTCTCTCTCTGGTCTCTCTCTGGTGTCTCTCTGGTCTCTCTCTGGTCTCTCTCTGGTCTCTCTCTCTGGTCTCTCTCTGGTCTCTCTCTGGTCTCTCTCTGGTCTCTCTCTGGTCTCTCTCTGGTCTCTCTCTCTGGTCTCTCTCTCTCTCTGGTCTCTCTCTGGTCTCTCTCTGGTCTCTCTCTGGTCTCTCTCTGGTTCTCTCTGGCCCTCTGTCTCTCTCTGGTCTCTCTGGTCTCTCTCTGGTCCTCTCTCTCTGGTCTCTCTCTGGTCTCACAGCCCACGGTCCTCTTTGCAGAGCGGAGCACCTTGTTTAAAGCTCTCTTTTCTTTATCTGTGATGTTTCCAAACCACACAGACACAGAACCAACAAGTAAACTCTCAATGGTGCAGCGATAAAAGTTAAGCAGAATCTTAGAGTTAGTGGTAAATTCTCTAAGTTTACGCAGAAAGTAGAGACGCTGACGAGCTTTCTTAACGACTCGGTCAGTGTTTTTAACCCATTTCAGGTTAGACAGAGTTAAACCCAGAAACTTGCACTTCTCTACGATCTGCACCTGGGAGTTGTCGATTACGACAGGCAAATGAGAACTATTGTGACTGAAGTCGTGACCAGTTCACATGTTTTGGATGCGTTCAGCTGGAGGTTGTTAGTTTCACTGAACCACATTTTGTATCTCTGCTCTATAAGAGGATTCATCAGTGTCACTGATGAGACCGATGATGGTGGTGTCATCAGCATATTTGATGATCAAGTTTGAGTCAGAGGAGGACACACAATCGTGAGTGTACAAAGTAAAAAGCAAAGGACTCAAAATACATCCCTGAGGAGATCCAGTGCTCACAGAAACAACATCAGAAAAACACTCATTGATTTTCACTCTCTGAGATCTGTCAGTTAAAAAGCTAAAAATCCATTTACACATGGCAACACTTACACCCAGAGACATGAGCTTTTCAATCAGTTTAGGCCCAAACCAAAACCACTCCCCCCTCCCCTCCCTCTCCACCAAAACCACTCCCCCTCCCCCCTCCCCTCCCTCTCCACCAAACCAAACATCCAGCATTTTCTTTCCTTTGTCACAGAGGAGAGTGAAGCAAACGTGAAATTGGCATTTTCTGTTCAGCCTTTTTAGGGTTTAGAAAATCCGATAACTCCGGTGCGATCATGAGAAACAGGAACAGTTTGTGTTGTTAGTTCCCAGTATTAAATATTTTTAAGATGTTGTTATTAGTTTATTTGACGTTAGTGGACAGGACACATCTATAGGAGATGACGGCTGTAAATTCTCTGATTGTTTTGGTCGTAGAGTCAGTCGTGTGTGAGGCCGTGTGCAGGAGTGGTGCCTGCATGTAAAAGCCAGGTCACACTAGACCTGTGGAGCGCTGTTGAGCTGAGGCTGTGGCTGTGGCTGAGGCTGTGGGCGGCTGAGGCTGTGGCTGTGGCTGAGGCTGTGGGCGGCTGAGGCTGTGGCTGGTGGCTGAGGCTGTGGGGCGGCTGAGGCTGTGGCTGTGGCCTGAGGCTGTGGGGCGGCTGAGGCTGTGGCTGTGGCTGAGGCTGTGGCTGAGGCTGTGGCTGTGGCTGAGGCTGTGGGGCGGCTGAGGCTGTGGCTGTGGCTGTGGGGCGGCTGAGGCTGTGGCTGCGGCTGTGGCTGTGGCTGAGGCTTGTGGCTGAGGCTGTGGCTGTGGCTGTGGCTGCGGCTGTGGCTGTGGCTGCGGCTGTGGCTGTGGCTGAGGCTGAGGCTGCGGCTGTGGCTGTGGCTGAGGCTGTGGCTGAGCTGAGGCTGTGGCTGCGGCTGCGGCTGTGGCTGAGGCAGCGGCTGCGGCTGTGGCTGTGGCTGTGGCTGTGGCTGAGGCTGTGGCTGTGGCTGAGGCTGTGTGTGCGGCTGTGGGGTGCTGTGGCAGTGGCTGAGACTGAGGCTGTGGCTGAGGCTGAGGCTGAGGCTGTGGCTGAGGCTGTGGCTGTGGCTGTGCTGTGGCTCTGGCTGAGGCTGTGGTGCGGCTTTGTGGGGCGGCTGTGGCTGTGGCTGAGGCTGAGGCTGTGGGCTGTGGCTGAGGCTGTGCTGATGGCTCTGGCTGAGGCTGTGGTGCGGCTGTGGGCGGCTGTGGCTGTGGCTGAGGCTGTGGCTGTGGCTGAGGCTGTGCTGAGGCTGTGGCTGCGGCTGCGGCTGTGGCTGCGGCTGTGGCTGAGGCTTGAGGATGGTGTGGGGCGGCTGTGGCTGAGGCTGCGGCTGAGGCTGTGGCTGAGGCTGTGGCTGAGGCTGTGGCTGCGGCTGTGGCTGCGGCTTGTAAAGATTCATTATGCATTTATTACCGTCTACTGTTTTGTTACTTTTACTGCAAATAATTTCTTGTCTATAACTCTTTGTTTACAGGTTAAATTAAACTTTCCATCATTTAATCAGTGTTAGGACTTTTTATCTGTCATTTTGTCATTCTCTATATTAACAGTATTGTTACACACACAGACACACACACACACACAGACACACACGCAACGCACACACACACACACACACAGACACACACGTACACGACACACACACACACATAGAGACACACCACACAGACACGCACACACACACACACAGACACACACACACACACACAACACACAGAAACCAAGTGTGGCTGGTATGACACATGCATGCGTCAAAACACATCGTATATGGTTTAGCATAATTTTCAACTTCTCAAAATTATGTTTTGCAAAGTCCAGCTTGCTTCATAACTTCTGCTTTTTTTCTTGTTTTTTTTTACATACACAAAGTGCAAACCAGATTCAAGGTTACAGGACAGCGGTGTTATGTATGTTCTCTTTCTTTGGTCAACTTGAGCTTTGTTCCTACAATAAACTAGTCCGACCTGTTCCCTGGTTATCTCCTCCTTATTCTTCCCTCTCTCTCTCTCTCTCTCTGTTTCTCAGTCTCTCTCTGTTTCTCAGTCTCTCCCTCTCTCTCTCCCTGTTTCTCAGACCCAGCCCACTTCTTGCTGTGGCGTGTCATGTCTTGCCAAGTTGAGCTCAATGTTAATATTTGACACAGAAGGAACAGTCTTTTTTAGTGGTTATTTAAACTCGCTTGCTTTGACAAAGATCTGAGGAAAAGCACCACTGACAAAACATGGGTAAGTTTCATTTCCTGTCATTCAAATAGATTCCCACAAAATACAGTTTTTTTTTAACAGGATCTGATCTCTCCCTGCACTATTAGACACATGTTGGACTATAGGGAGAAACAATTCATTACAAATATTATTGGCTTGGCTTGTGTGAGTGTCAGGGCACATCCAAAAGTAAAGCTGGGGGGTGTAACTTTCGCAGAGGTGCTGGTGCTGTTGGACTTTGAGGCACCATGCCAGGACGAGCTCTCGGTGAAGACCGGCGATGTGGTGAAGAATGTGTCCCAAGAGCGCAGAGGAGGGACTTGCTGCACGGGGAAGTGCGGGGAAAGAAGGGCATGTTTCCGCTACCTTTGTCAAGGTCAAATCTGTGAAGCTTCTCAGTTTTGTCTCAATGTGTGGCCAAGATGGATTTTGAAAGTTGTGTTTTTTTTCAGGAGGTGCCGCCTATTTAAGAGCAATGGCCAAAAAAGAGCACGCATTGTTAAGACAAAGTAATAGACATTCAAGATTCTCAGCAGTGTGTAGAATCCGTGGTGAAATCAGGTTAACTATTATATAATCATATTCAGGTCAACAGAGATGCATTATTACAAAGCAGGGCTTCAAGTTACATCACAAATACGCAATCTTGTGTTTCAGCATCTTGCTAAAGGCCATGTTTTTTTTTTGAGAAGAGAACCTTTCCTTTGACCCACCTTATAGTATAACACAGCATGCCACGAATACCGTCATTAACATAAGGAAATATAGGAAGCAAGATGATTCATCACACAGCATAAACAAAAAACAATGTTGAAAATTGGAAAATTACATCTATCCAAACTGTTTTCCTTCTGCTTTATTCCGTTGTCGGTCCACGGGGGAAGCAGTCTAATCACACTGTTCACGTGTGGTGGCGAGTTTTAATGCTGCAACCCGCAGGTAAAGGCGGTGGGTACGACGGCTAATATACATTGCAGAGCAATGTAGTATAAAAAGATTCACCGAACAATCCTCGCACCACACATTCCGCCAACCAATCAGAGAGCAGCAAAGTTGTACACATGTACACAAGCCGGTCAAAACCAGAAGGACGAAAGGCCATAAAATCGAAATCACCCAAAATGTAACAAACTAGGTTAGGTCATTAAGTTTCGTTCGGAACATTGCCGAAAAATGAAGCCCGACCCGCCCTAGCCCGCTAATGTTAAGCCCGATGCCCCGTATAAGCCCGACCAATGAACGCTGTAAATAACCAGGCCCTAGCCCGACAGAACCCCACACATCTGATTTCCCGATTGTACGCACTCAACCTTCCAATTGCAAGTTTAGTCTCCACTTTTGAATTTGTTTGTCTCCACTTGATCCATTTCTACTATTGTTCCTGTTCGCTGTTGACCACAGCATGCAGGAGACACGGGATGATGCGTTCACGGCTCGCTGCTGCTGTAGGACACGCTGGTTACGGTGTCATTAATATATTCACTTTTTTTAATAACTTGTTGTCAATCAACGGACATTGTTATTAATATATATATATATATTCAAATCATTATGTGTATAAAAATCATTTAAAAATAATTATAAATAATAATATAAAAACGAAACATATATTTAAAAAAAGAAGCCCGATCCCGGCACGAACCCGACAGCTGAGCGCCAAATGAGGCCCGAGCCCGGCCCGAACTCAGGTCGGGCCTCGGCCTGCTCTACCTCGGGTTGAAAAGCGAAACTCTAGGTCAGGTTCTTTTTTGTCTTTCTATGAACATGCAAAGTTGTAAGCTTTTTGGACACTCAGAACGCTTCACATGTCCTTATCTTTCACTCCATACACAGTGGTGATAAACTACTACTGTAGCCACAGCTGCCCTGGTGCACACTGACAGAAGCGAGGCAACCAGTCTGTGCCATCGGCCCCCTCCCACCACCACCAACCATTCACACACACACCAGACTCATTCTTGGCAGTGGGGGTGAAGTGTCTTGCCTAAGGACACAACAACATTGCCCCAGACATCAGTGGGAGTCGGTGGAGAAGGTCCCGTGGTGGGCTCGAACCCACGATTTTAAGGTTCAAAGGCCAATGCTCTACTACTGTCGCCCCGTAACAAGCAACATGTTTTTTCCCAATTCATTCAAGCGTTTCCATGGATTAAAAAAACAGGATTAAACCAGAGCTGGGGATCGTTCAAGTGAACATATGTCTCCATCCTGAGTTGACATTCTCTAACGACCGTGTTCCGCCGATTGGAAGTACCCGGTTAAAAAAATCATTAATCCATCGGCGCAGCTGTGATCAAATACTTCCTGTTATATATGACGTCTCTTGAGGGTCTCTGGACTCCGAAGGCCACGGAACTTAACACAAAAAGCCGCTAGCTTAAACTCGTTAGCATCAAAGCCCGCCCATGCCCACCACCTCCGCCCGGCCCATCAGCCGTGGGAACATGTACGGGAATGTTATTATGGTACATAGAAAATTAAGTAATCCTGTTATATACCCGCCGTTTCACAGACCAAGTCACAAAGCGGTTATGGATTCTCACCAACATTTAGGAAAAGAACCTCCTCCCCACTTTTTTAACCAAAACTTTCTGGTCTTATTTGACGAACAATAAACACACACATGACATATAAGGCTGTGTTGCTGGACACCTGAATTTCTCATACGGGGTTATCAACAAAGTATCTAATCAATCTCTCTACCAGAATGGATTGACAATTGGGAGGACAAATAGTCTATGGTAGGACTCTATGTCTCTATGACTCTATAGGTTCTATGAACTCTATGGTTCTTTCTACTACTTTATGGTTCTACGACTCTAATGACTGTATGGTTCTACGATTCTATGGTTCTACAGTATGACTCTATGGTTCTACGACTCTATGACTCTATAAACTCTATGACTCTATGGTTCTATGACTCTATGTTCTACGTTTCTATGGTTCTATGGTTCTATGACTCTATGACTCTATGGTTCTATGAGTTCTATGACTCTATGGTTCTACGACTCTATGACTCTAATGGTTCTATGCTCTATGACTCTATGGTTCTATGGAATCTAATGACTCATGGTTCTATGACTCTATGGTTCTACAATACGACTCTATGGTTTCTACGACTCTATTACTCTAATGTTCTACGACTCTACGACTCTATGGTTCTACGACTCTACAACTCTATGGTTCTACGACTCTAATGACTCTATGGTTCTACGACTCTATGTTCTACGACTCTATGACTCTATGGTTCTTACGACTCTACGACTCTATGACTCTATGGTTCTACTGACTCTATGGTCTACGACTCTATGACTCTATGGTTCTACGACTCTATGGTTCTATGACTCTAATGGTTCTAAACGACTCTATGACTCTATGACTCTATGGTATCAATGACTCTATGGTTCTACGACTCTATGACTCTATGGTTCTATGACTCTATTTGACTCTATGGTTCTACGACTCTATGGTTCTATGACTCTAAGACTCTATGGTTCTACGACTCTATGGTTCTATGACTCTAAGGTTCTACGACTCTATGACTCTATGATTCTATGACAAATAGTCTTGATGTATCGTACAATAGTGAATTAATATTTTAATGGTTTTTCCAGCTAAAAAGACCAAACCGACCCTGAGGTGTGAGGTGGTCTATCCCTACAGCTCCCAGAACCACGACGAGCTGGAGCTGTGTGCGGGGGAGGTCATCGAGATCATGAACGAGGTACTTCAGACTCAGTATTTATACTTTTGTGAGGATGATGCAAGAGAAAGAATTGTCTTTTCTTGGATTTTACTATCAAAGTATGTACATATATTTATACGTGTAGCTCCATAGATATTTTAGCAAAGGTCGGGATATTGATTTTGTTTCATTTTGTTTTTCTGTTATTTTTATGTGTACGCAGTTAATGCACACATTGTTTTAATTATTTTTATTGTAGGTTATCACAGATTTGTTTTAATTAGTCATTTATCCTATGGTTCTATGACTCTATGGTTCTACCAACTCTATGACTCTATGGTTCTATGACTCTATGGTTCTATGACTCTATGGTTCTACAACTCTATGACTCTATGGTTCTATGACTCTATGGTTCTACGACTACTATGGTTCTACAACTCTATGACTCTATGGTTCTATGACTCTATGGTTTCTAAACGACTCATATGGTTCTATGACTCTATGGTTCTACTACTCTATGACTCTAAGGTTCTATGACTCTATGTCTCTACGACTCTATGACTCTATGGTTCTATGACTCTATGGTTCTAACGACTCTATGAACACTTCTATGGTTCTATGACTCTATGGTTCTACGACTCTATGACTCTATGACTCTATGGTTCTAATGACTCTATGACTCTATGGTTCTATGACTCTATGGCTCTATGGCTCTATGACTCTATGGCTCTATGACTCTATGACTCTATGGATCTATGACACCTATGACTCTATGACTCTATGGGCTCTATGATTCTATGACTCTATGTACTCTATGGTTCTATGGCTCTATGGTTCTATGACTCTATGGCTCTATGGTTCTATGGCTTTATGTATGGCTCTATGACACTAGACTAATACTCTAAAGACTGCAAATGACTCTATGGCATGCTGAGTCCTAAAATAGGCATGACTCATCCACAATGAATACATTTTGACTGTGCTGAAGTTGGGCTGGATTAAAACATATAAATAACTTCATGAGAGAAAGTCCCTGCTTTTTACAGTGAGCCTCGCGGTCTGTTTTTACCACAGTTGGCATGAACACAAGAATATGTGGAATGCTTCTGGCTAATTATGGTAGCATAGCCGAGGCCATGGATAACATCACGGTCAGCACTATGATCATACACGGAATCGGGGACTAGAACCGAAGCTAAATACAACAAACAACCTATCAATGCCCTAAACTAAACCACCATTCCCATAAAAAACCCCAACACACCGCCCATAAACCGTAACCTTAACCATCATACTCAGACGCCTAAAACTTAACCAGTCACCACTTAAGGACTTTTTAGTCTAAAACTAATTCAAAAGTAGAATTATTACTTCCGGTTTCGTCCCGATTCCGTATATGATCTAGTGCCGACCATAACAGCACAGAGGACCGCAAATAGCACCCGGCCCTGGTTTTCTTTCTCTCTGGCCATGGCCTGAAGCTGGTCTGTGGAGGTTAAAGTGACCAAGATAATCTGATACTGGTGCCCGTTGTTACTTCATGTTTCCCGAGGCCCAAATACTGAAGAGACTTCAACACTCACTGGACACGTTAATTCCAGACACACAACAGCTTTGAAGTCAATCTAGTAATACAGGTTCTGAGTTTGTGTGTGTGTGTGTGTGTGTGTGTGTGTATGCGTGACCCATGCTGTCTTTCACTGTGTGTGTCACCGATCCATAAATGTGTTCAGATTGAAGATGGATGGTGGATGGGATCAAAAACGGTAAAGTATGGCGTTTCCTTCCAACTTTGTCAAAGAGATTATTGTTAAAGTGTGGTGTGTGCACAGAATCCACCACATCAAACACAAAAACACACGACAATTCTACGCTGTCAATGCAATCATTATGTCACAGACGCAAAGACGAATTGAGGGAAAATCCAGACCCAAAAAATGGCAAAACTCTCCAACGCTGTTTTTTAACCAAAGGAGTGAGTCAAAGAGCAATGAAAGTACCTAACTCTTGGGTAAAGGCCGGTTTCACAAGAGTAATAGAAATTCTCTCATCCGCTTCATTAATTTGTATATATAAAGTATACCACATAGTAGCGTGTGAGAGAGAGAGTCTTGAAACAGAATTCAAAACAAACCAGTGTTCGAAGAAAGTTAAAAGCGGAATGTTGAGGAGAATTTAATAAACCACAACAAGAACGGGCCAGAGCATAATTCTCGTCCAATTATGTTATGCAGTTATTTTTGCTGACGCTATATATGATTTTTCTCCTAATATAATCCAAATTTATTAGTCAAAAATGTTAATATCTTGAATTAACATGAGATAGATCCTTTAAAATGATTAGATAGATCTAGAAATGCTATGAAATAATTTGCAAAATTTATCAGAATAAAATTAAAAATAAATAGATAAATCTTTCTAAATGGAAGAGTTTAATTTGATATATGCTAATGAGATTAATCTTGTAAATTTAATATAATACATTTAAAATATTCAATACAATAATATGATAAATTTATGAAATTAACTTGAATTAATGAATGAATTAATACTTTTTATCGCGCCCATGGCAAACAAGAAACCAAGAACAACAAAACAAAAAAGAATGAAAACAAAAACATTAAAATGAAAATATAACATTATACAGTTTTGTTTTATTATTGACATTTTTATGAAATTATTGTGTATTAATATTGTGTTTATTCGGATCTTCAATTTGATAATTTTGACCTCATGACATCAATTAAATTGTGTGATGTAACATTCGATGATATGATAAAATTCTGATAATATTATTAAAAGGAAAGACACAGTTTTTTGCAGCTAACAACAACTCCAAAACAATTGTAGTGGAGAAAAACACACATATTATTATTATCATATGAATTGTAGTCAAAAAATATTCAGGTCAATTCCTGCAACATGTCTCTACGCACAAAAGTAAAAAATATTCTACATAGTAAGATTTTCTATACGCTGGTATCGTTAGTCCAAGCCCTTTGCCTGCACAACAAAACTCCTTTAAGTTTCCAAGTCGCACCACCGCTCTGTAGTTTCAGCTGGATCATTATCAAGTTAGCAAACCTGATTCCAGACAACCTGCTCCTGATACACATCCGAATCGTAATCTATGTAAAGCACATTTAAAAACACCTCGGTGAACCAAAGGGACAAACATAAAAAAAAAAAATAATAAATACTATTTAAAACACCATATTAAAAAACATCAGTTCTGCACTTATTTAACAGTAACATTCAGCAACCGAGAAATTAGCATAAACCGTATCATAGTTTATTTATTTATAATCTGGCACAAATAAGCACAACTTTTATATGATGTTCATTAAATGTTTGTTGTTCCATATAAAAAAATAAATAAAAACAAATAAAAATAAAAAAATACATAAATAAAAAAACATGATATACCTGTATTATACGTAATAAATAGTCTTAATGGGAAAAAGTACTATGTGTGTATTTTTTATTTTTTTTTAATTTCAGGAGTTCTGGCAAAGTGGATTTTGATTACGTCCCGAAAGCTGGGGAAGACAGGAGCTGAAGACAGGAGACTTGGTCGTGTCCTCAGTAAAGTAAGGACTGTTTCACCATCTATTCTTTGGTATAACTCTGAGAGAGAGAATAGAGAGGTGGACGAGAGGGGGAGAGGGAGAGAGAGAGAGAAGGAGGAGAGGAGAGGGGGGGGAGAGAGAGAGAGTGAGATAGATAGAGGTGGGTGGGGGGGGTGGGGGGGGGGGTGAGGGAGTGGGTCCTATGGGGGGAGAGGGGCGATGAAGATAGAGAGAGAGAGAAGAGAGAGAGAGAGAGGGGGAGGAGAAGAGAGGCGGGAGAGAGAGAGATAGAGGTAGGGAGAGAGGGATAGGAAGGTTAGAGACACACAGAGATAGAGAGAACGTGAGAAGTAGAGGGCGGTACAAATTCGAAATTGAAAACATAACAAGATTATTTGGGACAACGGAAAATTACTTAAGAAAATCCAAATAACTCTGAACACCAGTTTTAATTAAGCCTATTTGGACAGAATATCGGCCCTTTAATGATGACATATTAGGGCCCTTTAATGAGAGACAGATTAGGGCCGCTATAATGAATGACAGATTAGTGGCCCTTTAATGATTGACATATTAGGGCCGCCTTTAAAGCTGACAATAGGGCCCTATTCGATAATGCTAAACAGATTAGGTCCCTTTAAAGATACAATTAGGGCCCTTTAATGATCGACAGAAATAGTGCCCTTTAAGATAACAATTAGGGCCCTTAATGAACCACAGATTGGCCCTTTAATGATGACACATAGGGCCCTTTAAATGACGCCAGATTATGGCCCTTTAATGATGACAATAAAAGGCCCTTAAATGAAGACAGATTAGGGCCCTTTAATGATTACAGATTAGGGCCCTTAAAGAAGACAGATTAGGGCCCTTTAATGATGAGTAGTTTAGGGCCCTTTAAAGATACAGATTAGGCCCATTAAAGACGGCAGAATTAGGTCCCTTAAATGAGGACAGAATTAGGGCCCTTTAATGACGACAAGACTTAGGGCCCTGTACACATGAATGACAGAAAAGGGCCCTTAAATGCTGACAGATTAGGAGCCCTATTAATGCGAGGACAGATAAGGGCACCTTTAAAGATGACAGATTAGGTCCCTTTATGATGAACTGATTAGGGCCCTTTAATGACGACAGATTAGGGCCCATTTAATGATAAGACAGAAATTAGGGCCTTTAATGATGACAAATTAGGCCCTTTTCAATGAATGACAGCTTAGGTCCTTTAATGATGACGAGTATTAGGTCCTTTAATGATGACATATTATTGGCCCATTTAATGATGACAGATAGTGTGCCCTATTAATTATGAAATAACATGAAAACATTTTTAAAATCTACTACAGTGCAGAGATGTATGATAATGGAGTCCGAGTTCCAGTTGAACAAACACGACAAGGAGAACAAAATCACTGAGAGTGTTTCTGTAAAAGTGGGTGTGTTTGTTAATGTGTTAGAGTTGTGTTGATCATCAACACAACCCCAAGAACCACTTTGTCACTGAACAAAACACAAATCAAATATAGTGTGAATTACTGTACTGAACACGTGCTTATCATAAACTTTATACTTTATACATATTTGCAACTGAAGCTTTTTTACATCCACTCCTTTTCTGTATTTATTTATTGGTATTTCTGATTTTTAAATAATAATTATGTTATATTGTTGCTGTGTTTTTAAGAAGAATGCCCTGCGTACATAACCCTACCATCAAAACATTAAAGATAAGTTTTGGAGAATGCGACAGTAAATAATCTTCTTGTACCGACTCCTAATATCAAGAAATTGAAGCGGAGCCAGACGAATGTTTAGGCAAATGTCATTGCGGAAAGAAGTTGTGGCGCTACACCCCAAGGGCTCTGCTAGTGCAAAGGAGAGCTAAAAGCTAGGCTAAATGCTAAAAAGGCCAAACGACACCACATGGGCCTCATTACATACTCACGGTAAACTCAGACCAATCGTTTTCAATCTGCAAAACGATTAACCCGCTCCCACCCCTAGGACAACAGAGATCAATGGAGCATAATCAGACCTAGTAGTCAAGTGAAATGTATACTATGGTGTCGGTTACAGACCAGCCCCCCCCCCTTTTTAAAAACTCACCAGTTTTGTGTCTCATTTTGGCTGTTTTTGTCTAAAGGAACAGAGGAATTAGGCTGGTGCAGGGGAGCATGAACGACGCTGTGGTTTCTTTCCTGATAACTTTGTGATTAATATGGTAATTGGTGTTTGCTTTGTGTGTCTATGAATGAAAAAGCCGATGCATATGTTGATCATTTCTTTGTCTATGTTTTAAACAGAGAACACCGTTGTAATCGACCCTAAAACGCCTGTCCTCGTCGCGCCAGTGGGTTCGCTAGTGGTGGACACGAACTCGCCTCATCAGTGGTTTGGAAACCTCGTCACGATGGTAACGACTCACAACTCCAATTATGTGAGCCAAATTTAAGCAATTTTGGGCCTCATATCAGGCCAATTTAAGCATTTTAGATTAGTCCTCCTCTTGAACAATGTGTGTTTTACCTGTTTGCTCCACCCAAGTTTTTAAGAGTTTTAAAACAGTTTTTACAAAACAAAATAACTCAAACAGGACAGGAGATGTGAAGCTTACATATGCAGATTGTAGACTACTCTATACCTTTATGCTTTTGTCATAATTTCTGAATTTTGATGTTTTGGTGCAGGTGTGGTGGACCCATCTGTGGGCTGAACGAGGGCTTTGCGTCGTGGATAGAGATCTCTGCGTGGACCACTGCTTCCCGAGTACGACATCTGGACCCATTTGTGTCCGCGGACTACACCCGGGCGCGGACCTGGGACGCTTTGGACACAGCCATCCCAACGAGGTCACACATATCACAGACCAAAATGGAGGCAAAAGTAGAAAAATATGTTTGATAAAAAGAAGGACCCGTTATTCAAGACTTTTTGGAGATTTTTTTGTTTTTTTTTTCTATGTTACAATATACAGAATGGAGAACCCTTTTTATTGCCGTGTGAGTAACAGGAGTCACAAACTGGGAAATTGCTTTGGCTCTCATTACTTACTCACTCAGTGTCCCACGATGACATCAGTTTCCTGCCTACAAACGTATTGCGAACAATAGTAGTTGCCCCTACATTAGGCGTTGGTAATTCTCAAGTAAATGTTGTTCTTTACAAGGCTGTGTTTTGCAGCTGGCTAACTTTCAGATTTGGATATAAACAAAATAGATTAACGCCTCCCCTCTGGTGGCAGCAGTGGGCTTTACAGGTACAAAGATATATATATATATTTTTTACTCTTCACTTGTTACTATAGATATTATTTTTATTGTACATGTTCTTAGATATTTCACTATTCCTAGATAGACAACAACAAAGTAAATGTTGTATAGTATTATTTTGACTATAGACTGATGCATATAATCTAATTGATAACGCATTTAAAACATTTGGTTGCAGAGACAATTGTGCATCTCCCATGGACATTTCACCGGGGGATTAATTCATAAACATATTTGCACTAATGTTTTCCATTAATCATGTTTGCCCTTTTGATGCGATTAGCCGATACAATACAAGAAAGCTAAGCGTTGTTTGAAAGGCTTGTGCGTACTCCTGCCAGATAATGCATTAAAAATGAACTCAAGGTCTGGACAGATTTCATTAAAAGGTTATTCTCATTAAAAACATTTATTTTTTCCCATCACGTTTTATCAGAGAATACTGTGTGGAGTTAGGAGTAGTTTTTGTAGACAAGCTCTTTCTTTAGGCTCTCCGTCATACAATCATAAATCACACCTTGTTCCGGTTTTTGCTTTTCTTTTTCATATGGACCTTGATGGCATTAAGTTGGACCTAAACAGCATTGAAAATTCCTAATAGGTCTTAACTTTCACGTTGGCCAAACCTGGAGCTACTTGTACTATTAAATTATCGTATTTTGTACCAATTTGTTGTAAGCCTGGTTCGTTTTGAGATGGCAAAATATTGCTGTGACCCTTCATTTCATTTACTTCATTTCATTTACTTTAATTTCATTAGTGTCGTTTGGTCATTCAGTCAGTCCAGTTTTAAATCAAAAACAAACACAATCAAGTCCGTGCTTTGCCCGCATCTTCCGAAATAAAATTCATCACTTTACAGAGATCGCACTGTAAATAATTACACTAAAACAAGAGTCCCATACCACAATACACAAAACGTTTCCTATGGTTACCGCTGTCATATATTTTGTCCATATTGAGCTGAACGAAATGTATTGAAAAGCCTTTTTGTCCAGAATAACGATAAACAGTATTTAAATTATTGTAAAGTGTGTTAAGGGTAGTGCATAGTTTTTAAAATGTACTACATTTTCAACATTAACCATATATTTCTCATAAAATCTTGTTGACCTTTTGAGTACAAACAAATGGCTGGCGACTTTATGATGCGATGGCCCTTTAGTTTGGTCCTCTGGTGACTACATTTCTCAATTATAATGGGTCGCCTGGGGTTTGAGTTCTAATAGACTGTAAATGACACTCTGTGGGTTTGACTCTTCAGCTGAGCAATTTCACTGAAAATCGCAGACGGAATACATGTAATAATGCCTTCAAAAAGTATTTGTGAGTTTCGGATTCAAATCCACTCAGCACATTGCATAACAAAGTTTCCAAGTGCTGTACAGGAGTAAGACATAAATTTAACGAGCAAAAAACAGCCGACAGTTATAGAAAGAAAAAGCCAAATCTTGACTCTTGAAAAAATACAGATATTAATTTACTTTGGAAAACCATAACCAATTCAAACTGCCCTGATTCATCCCGGAATCCTTTAATTTTGGATCATTTGCATTGCTCTTGTATTTACTGAAGCACTATGAAAGCACTACGATGTGCTTTGTGTATGAAGTGGGCCATAACAGATAAACTTGGTTCGTGGTTCTAGTATTATTATTATAATTTAACAGACAAAGTTAAATACCAGTGGCTCCCTCCATTAATACGTTGGATCTATAAAGTAACTATGTTTACCTGTAAAATCGGCAAATGAACCACTGTACAGTACTGATCTGCCTCGCTGGCCCCCTGTGCCCGCAGGTAAACGTGGGCGCACCCTCGGAAGTGGACGAGAGTTTTGACGCCATCCCTCGTACAGCAAAGGAGCGTCCGTGATCCGCATGTTGCACAAATACATCGGAGACGAGGTTGGAGCGCTGCCTGCCCGGTGGCCGAATCTGAGCACTGGTCAAACCCTCACCCATTCACTCACTCCTCTAGGATTTTAGGAAGGAATGAACCATATCTGGTCAATTTTCAAAACAAAAACACGCAGGCAACAGGTGAGGAGATATTTTGATATACTTTACTAGCTCATTTAGTTATCGTTTACCTATGGACCCCATCACTTGTGTCCTTAATACAGATGAATAAATAATGACTATGCTCTGAATACGTCAAATTGTTTTGTTGTAATAAATCTTATTTCTTTGCCGCCCCTCTAAACACCTCACTGGTCACCTTACATAACAAGTAAAAAAATACATCTAAAGACCGTAAAAGACAAACTTGCGCTATGTTTTCTCATTGACTTGAATAGATTGCAACTGTTTGACATGTTACTAGTTTGAGTCACACCTTTTTAGAGTTGGTATACATCTAAACAAATAGTGTCTCTGGTGCAATTCTACCTGCGTTGTTTGGTGCACACTGGGCTACGTGGAATTGTCTATGAGTTGATCCAAAGAAAAACCCTTTTTTTAGAGTGCCTGATATAGCATACACAATAGATAACGAGGAGAAAAAATCTTAATTCTAAGTGGTCATTATAATATGCCATGTGTTAAAGCTGTCGTTGTGCTAAGGCTTTTTCCTCAGTATCCCTCTGTCTCCTTTTCTCTGTCTAATTTGCAAGTGTTTTGTCAGAGGATCTATGGGAGTGTCTGGAGCAGCCAGCGGCAAACCCATCGCCGCCGGTGATGAGCTCGGGGACCAAACAATGGGATTTCAATCATCGTCGTCGACCAAGAGCAGGTGCACAGTGGGGACACCTGCTTTTGCACTATCGCTGCTCTCATCCACTGCCGTAGCAGGGTTTATCAAAAAACCATTAAACACACCATTTCATGCCTTAAGAGGAAACGGTTCAATGTCTGGATTTGTGACCTTGTGTTTTTGGGCGCCGGGTGTTTTTTTGCCATATGTCCGATCAGCAATCCTCAAAGCACAGCAGAGTTCAAGCCTGTGTGCTAGCTGCTCAAATGCCAAGATCTCTCTCAACAATTATAAAGTATAAAATAATTATGGAAAATAAAAAAACTTGCAAAAAAATAAAAAGTCAAAATAAAAACAAATAATAATACTAAAAAAATAATAATAAAACCTAAAGTAAATGGGCAGTCAACCCAAAACAAACAAACCATTTCCACATACACACACTAGCACCACAAACACACAAACACGATTCCACGTCCAACCCACACACACCCCCCCACCCCACACACACCACGTTGAGCTCAACACAAAACACCAACACAAACACAAAACAAACAACAAAACAAACATACCCGGTGTGAGTCATCTATGTCCATGGACAACTCACCCTTCCCCACCACACCGTCGACGAGATACTCCCCCCCACACCCCTACCCCACCCCGAGACCGGCTGAACACCCCCCGGGGACCCCCCCCTCACCCCAGGGGGGAAGAGTCCCCCCCGGCGGGGGGTGTGGTGACCACGTCCCGCCCCCCGGCGACCCCCCCCGCCTAGCGACCCGAGGACCCCCCCCCCGGTGGGCCCCCCCCACATGAGACCCCCCAGCGCCCCCCCCACCCCCCCGGTACACAACACCCCAGATATCCCGAACCCCCCCCCCCCCATCGTGGACGTACCGCGTTCAGACCCGTCACCCCACCCCCCGTACACTTGGGGACCCCACACCCCCCCCCCCCCCTGTAGCCCCCCCTCAACCCCCCCACACGCCCACTGTGTATGCGGGGGGCGGGGCCACCCCTCTTGTGACCCCCACCCCCCGCATCCTGCACCCCCCCCCCCGCTCACCCCCCCCCAGGTATAGGGGTACGGCGGTTCGGTCCCCCCCCCCGCCCACACTAACCACGGTTTGGACCCCCCCCCCCCGCCACCACCACCCCCCCCCCCGCCCGAGCCCCCCTAGATGGATGCCCCCCCCAATGGGAGCCGCCCCGGTGAGGAGTAGAGCCCCACCCACACCCCCCCACCCCCCGGCGGGCAACGGTTGAGGGATTGAGACAGGGAGCCGATACAACCCCTCGACCGGAACCCCCCGGTCCCCCCCGACCTACCCAGTTGTTTGTAGTGTGGTTGTTGTGTGTGTTTTATGTGTTAGAAGTGTTTATGTTGTTTGTAGTTGTGCCCCCACCCCCCCCCCCCCCACACACAAAACACCACACACACACCACGCGGTCACCCCACCCCCCCCCCCCCCCCCCCCGCCACCACCCCCCCCCCCTTCCCCGGGAAGCGGGGACCCCGGAAAGACACCCCCCAGTGACCCCCACCCCCCCCCCCCCCCCCAAGTGGGGACCCCCCCAGACAGGTACCCCCCCCACCAGCGCGACCCCCCCCCCCCCCCCCCCTGGGTCCCCCACCCAACCGGTGCGGGGAACGCGGAACCGCGACCCCCCCCCCCCCCCCCCGCCCCCCCCCCCCCCACCACCCACCCCCACCAGGGACCAAACCCCCGCCCCCCCCCGGGCCCCCGGGACCCCGACGACCCTCCCGCGGCCCCCCGGAGGGTTCTCACCCCAATTCCCGCCCCCCACCCCCCCCAGCACCCCCCCCTCCTTCTGTGGATAACCCACAGGTTCCCACCAGGGGGCCAGTGACCTTCCATGACCCGAAGACGATGGCGGGTACCTCCCGCCCCCCCCCCGGGACACCAACGGACACCAGTCCGGTACCCTGGAAATCCCCCCACCACCCAACCTACCCCACGAGAGGGGTCAATCAGGGTACCCCCACCCCCCACTCCCTCACCCCCCCATCACCCCGGGGACAACGAGACCCCCCCGGGGACTCGGGATCCCCCCCTCCGGTGCTGGTCCCCCCCCTCGATCGCAGCCCGCATATAACATAAAATAATATATATATATACTATAATATATATAATAATAATAGAACAAACCACACACACACCACACAACACCACACCTCCACCAAACCCCTTGTTAGGCTCCCCTGCAGGCCTACATGCGAACACACCCTACAACACACACAACAATCCACGCCCCACACACAATAAACAAAACATTTTGTGTGTTTGATTGTGTGTTTTGTTTGTTGTGTGTTTGTTTTTTGTGTTGTTTTTGAGAAACAAAAAAACAACACCAACCGTAGCCACCACCACACCCACACACACACCACACCTACCCAACCCCCCCCGGGCGAGCGTTTCCCGTATCACATATCCCGGAGACCCGCCCCCCCAGCGACCTAGGCCCCCCCCCCCCCCCTCAGACCACCCCACCCCCCGACCAAGAATCCGTTGAGGTCCCCCCCCCCCCCCCCCCTACCCCCTACAGGGACCCCCCCCCCTGACCATGACCCCACCCCACGACCCCCCACTGGTCGGTAGTCCCCCCCCCCCCGAGGCTTCCCCCAACCCACCTTCCCCCCCCCCCCCCCCCCCCCCCCCTTGCCCTTTGGATTTCGGGGTGGAGACCCCCTGGGTCCAGGCTGGAACCCCCCCCCGACCCCCGACACCGGTGGACAACCCCCCCAGACGTCTTAGAGCTTGAGTTATGATCCCCGAATTCCCCCCCCGGACCCTCCCCCCCGCCCCGGAGCCTCCCCCCCAAGACCCCCCCCCGACCCCGGGCTGACCCCCCCCCCGGCGCGGAGGACCCAAGGGACTCCCCAGCCCCCACACCACCACACCCACGTGTACCACCCCCTGTATTTATACCCCCCCCCCCCCCCCCCACCCCTTGGGCCCAAAGGAGGCAGGCGACACAAACACAAGGGTTTGGGGGGGGGGGGGGGGAGGGGGGGTTTGGGTGGGGGGGGGAGGGGGGGGGGGGAGTGATGTTTGTTGTGTAGGTGTATAAACACGCAAAAACAAACACAAAACAAAACAAAAAAAAAAAAAAAAAATAAAAAATAAAAAAAACTTCAACCCACCCCCCCCCCGTGCGCATACCCGCCCCCCCAGCTAACCCCCCCACTTGCTAGCAGGGAACCCCCACACACACACCACAACCCCAATACTCTGAACCGATGATAAGAAACCCCCCCCCCCCATAGGTAGGCCCCCCCCCCCACCCCCCCAAACACCAAAACCGGCGCCAACCCCCCACCCCCCGGGCGTCTTACGCAGATCCCCCATGTAATACCCCCCCCCCCCACGGTGGTACCCCCCACGGGGTTTACCCCCCGACCCCCCCCCCCCGTCCCCCCCCCCCCCCCCCACCGGACATGTACACCCCCAACCCCCCGGCCCGAACCCCCCCCCCCCCCCCCCCCCCCCCGACCCCCGGCCACCCCCTCGCCCCCTCCCGGGGAGGGTAACACAAGTGTAGTGTGTTGAGGTAGGGGTGGGGGGTGGTGTGAGGGGGGGGTGTGTGGTTTGGGGAATGAAGTGTGGGCCATCTTGAGGTCCCCCCACCACCCCCCCACAGACCCCCTCCCAGCACCTCCCCCCGCGCGAACTGTGACACTCAACCACAGGCTAATGAGTGCCCACCACACAACACACAAGATATCCACCCCCCCCCTCCCCCGACCCACCCCCGCGGGGGGAGGTCCCCCCCCAGCCCCCCCCCCCCCACACCCCACACACCACACCACACGAGGAGATCCCGGCTTGGGTCGCCCGCCTACTGGACGCCCCACACCCCACCCCCCCCCCCCCCCCCAAGCTGAAGTGAACCAGGTTGTGTGGGGGGGGGGACCGCCCCCCCCCCTTCCGGGGGGTCGCTCCCGGACCCGGGAAACGCCCTAGGGTCCGCTTGCCGCCCCCCCCCCCCCCCAACACAAATACACACACCCACTCCCCCCCCACCCTAAACCCACCCGATGGGGGGTATCAGGGGGCCCCCCCCCCATAACCCTCACCCCCTCGGTCCCAACCCCCAGACCACTATCCCCCGTACACCCGTAGAACCACCCCCCCCCCCGCCCGACCCCCAGTCCCGTT